TGTGGGGTAGACAGGACTGGATTGATGTCGAACTGCGAATGTGGCGTTGTCTTGTGTGGCCTCGAAGAGAGGTCTTCTGCTATTCCGACAATTGTGGCTGAGTCCGCGCGTTCCTCGTCGTGACCCGCGGCAGTGCCTTTCGTAAGGTGCTGAGCCTCCTGTCGGAAGTTTGTTACGAGTGCAACAGTATGTCCATCTTGGAGCTCCGCGATGCCTCTTGCGACGCCGATCCCTCTTCCTAGAAGCAACTGGAGGCTTCCCTCAAGGAGAATGTCGCCGCAGTAAGCCTCATCGGTCCCAACGGGTACGAAAACACTCGACCGCGGCGGTAAGTTTACGTGATTTGTGAGGACTCGGACCGCGGATGACGTCGCTTTGGGTTCCTCCCGTGGCGGAGCAGGTTTTCGTAGTGTCCGCCGGTTTTCTCCGAGGTCGATGACCGCGCCATACTCGCAAAGAAAGTCCATTCCGAGGATAACGTCCCTCGAACAGTCTTGCCGAACGACGAACTCGACAGGGCACGTCTCACCGTGGATCTCGACGCGAGCAGTGCAAATCCCCACTGGAGTGATGAGGTGCCCACCGGCGGTCCGTTTCTGCGGGCCATCCCACGGCGTTGGCACTTTCCGAAGGCGTTGGGAGAGCCTCCCACTCAGGACGGAGTAGTCTGCTCCAGTGTTGACGAGAGCCGCCGCGTCGTGGCCGTCGATAACGACGTGTAGGTTATTCTTCACCGTTGCAGGAGCGTCGCTTCGATCTCTGGTGGTGTATGAGTGGGGGCCCTCCGACGTTCGTGGAGGATTTTGGCGCATGTCGTCTTCGGCAACTCCACCTCCAGCGGTTGCCGCGCCTAGTTTCCCCGGCGAGGAGCGGGGGGCGACAGGCTTTCACGTCGGGGTCGGTGCATCGGCGAAGCTGGACGTCGTGGCGACGGCGATCGGGACACGCGGCGAGCTGCAGGCGAGGGAGACTGAGGTCGTCGGAGGTATTCTTCGATCTCCCTCGGTCGTTCACCGTATCGTGGACGTGGATCATTCGGATGGAAGCTACGCAGCCCTATTGGCCGGTAGAGAAAGCGGCGGTAGATATGGTCGGCTTCCCCGTTGTGGTAGCACAGTGGGCGTCGGTCGGGCGTTCGCCACACGTCAGTCTTCCGAGGTACGCGAGGCTCCTGGGAGACGTACTGGACCTGGACGTCGAGGCATCGGTCGTACTGCGGCGCAGGAGACTGACGTAGGTGTGGTGCGACATAGGTGCGAGGAAGAGGCGGTGGCCGTCGGGCCACTGCGGCGTAAGTCAACGTGGGCTCCCAGTGGGCTGCCACGACGACAGGAGCCTGTGGTTGGATGGCTCTCTGAACTTCTTCCCGCACAACCTCGGCTATAGAGAGCGAGGCCAGGCGTGCGGCAGCGGGCAGCAGCTTCTTCAGTCCCTCCTGGACGACTTCACGGATAATGTCACGGATGTCGGTGAGGGTGGTGCCAATGTCGGATCCGGATGTCGCCAGAGTAGTTACGCCAGAGTGTCGCTGGTAGTATCTGGCGCGTGCTAGTAGGGCCCTTTCCATATTCGTCGCCTCCGTGACGAACCCGTCGACAGTTATCGGGGGATTGCGGATGAGACAGCTGAATATCTCGCTTTTCACACCCCTCATTAGGTGGCGCAGCTTCTTCTCCTCGGTAGCCTGAGGATCGGCGCGGGCGCTCAGGCGGAGAACATCCTCGACAAAGCTGGTGATGCTCTCATTGAAGCCTTGGGCTCTTGTTCGCAGGAGATCCTATGCCCTCTCACGTTGGTGTTGGCTTCTTCAGTTTTTGCTTGCACACCTCTTACGACGTCAAAGAAACCTTGTGGTTTTCCAGCCAGTGCCTCGCAGTTCCTTCCAGCGAGAAGTAAATGTTCTGCAAGCAGTGCTCAGCTGACCACCCGTTATGGCGGGCCACACATTCATAGTTTTGCAGCCAGTCCTCGATGTCCTCGTGCACGTCTCCGTTGAAAGGCGTCGGAGTTCTGGGTGCGACGGGCAGGTATACGACGGCAGAAGCGGCCGGGGTCTGCGCCTGGTTGGCCATCGCCGTCTTCTTCGGCTTGGGCTTGTCCAGCAGCAAACCGTATTCAGGATCATCTCCCTTGGTGCGGCGGCTGGTCCGAGTTTCAGATTCCGCGTAGAGTGGTCTTCTCATCGAGCTTAGAATCGAACTTGCACTGCGGGCTCTTGGAGGGGAACGTTGTACGGACATGCGGTACCCCGCACCTCCACCAAAATGTCACAAATGACAATTGATGAGGCGATAATAACTGAAGAAACTAAACGTTTAAAGGGACCATGAAATGACCTTTTTACTTTTTCCCAGATAACTTTTACATTAAACCGTCAATGTTCACTGAATGCCGAACAGGCATCCGTTTTCGTCTCGGTTTATTAACGTCTACACAAAAAATTAATGAAATATCGAATATCGACTTTTTCTTTCTCTCCAACTGACCGCAAAACAAGCTGCGGCGTAATTTTGACGGTCGTGAATTACCCTGTTTCCGGAACCGGAAGTTCTCTCGGCAGTAGGAGAATGGGAACGTTAGTGGCGACGAGTTGGGGTGCGCCTGTAGGTTTTACTGTGCTGATGTCACCGACGTATTTTCTGAATCGGCGCCTCTCATCGCCGCGATAGGCATGGACACATCGCAGCTGAGCGAAACTCAATGAGATATCTTGCGCTACAGCGACAGCATGGAACTAGTCCCATACGCCGGTATGCCTACTGGAAAGTGCAGCGAGTCTTCCGGTGAAGACTCCAGAAGTCAACCGAACTGTCATTGTTGGTAAAAGGCGGCCCGTGTCAGTCGTTTGCAAAGCGACGTAGATAGAAACAAATTGCCCCGGCGTTTTTCGCGGCCTCAGAAATGCAGGAGCGAGCCGATGTTAAAAAAGATACGCTTGAACTACGAGACTGTCAGCAAGAGCCACGTAAATACCTGTTCACACTCGGAGCGGACGCGCGCGTTTGATGGAAGTGCTGTATTCACGCTGTTGGTAAGCGCTTCGGGACCGATCTTTTACGATTGCAACTCGATACTGACGCGACACTCGGCAAAGAAAGGTTGGACCGTCATTGCACGTAGCTCCCACGAACTGTTATAGCTCGACAGTGACGTCCAGTCTGTCAGAAGAAAAATGGCATACTAATAACAAAGTGTACATACCGTGTTACGAAGGTAATCCCTACGGCGTTTATTTGAGCTCTATATCACACAAAACAAGAAGATAGACTCGACGAGAGTCCCTTTTCGACGACAGTGTTCGTCAACACTGCCTCGGAAAACAAGGGGAAGAGATTGACCTCACCTCTTAATCTAAAATTGAGGTCAGCGATCAAACTATAATACGGGAAGGGTCCACAAGGGTCGCGCGGGCATATTCCATTCAGCACGCCAGCCGGTCGTGGGCAGACGGTCTTGGCCAAGTACCGTTGAAGCAACGCTGCGCAGAGTCGGAGTGCCTGCTGGCCCTATCTGCCGAGCTCGCTTGGTCGGGGGTCGGTGGATTCGTGGCCGTTGTCGCTTTTCTCGAGTGTTTGTGGATCCAGCGTTCTTGTTCGTCGTGGTCTGTTTTAAGTTCTTTTTTCTTGCTGCTTGAAGTCGGGACGCGCGAGAAGAACACGTAAAAAAATAAACGTTCGTTGGTCGTCGCGACCCAAGTAACTGAATTCGGCCCTGCCCTACTGCGCACGCGCAGTAGTTGCTTTGTTTACCACACGAGAGATGGCGCTTGGCTCTCAGAATTATCAAATTTGGCAATTTTCGCCACATCTCTAATTATGCTACAAAATGTGGATCTGAATATTATTTAACAAAACTTTTAGGAAGCATTCGCCGGCTATTTATTGTTTACGATTGCGGTGCTGGTAAGGTAGGCTCTTACCCAATAGGCGACGTGGATTCGGCTGACGCGCAACGATTCCGCGGATGCATCGCAGTGAAAAGGCAGAGCGCTTTCGAAGGAACTGTAAGGGAGCAGGGGGCTTCGTCAAGCTGTTAAACAGCTTTTTCCCTCTGTTTCCTCCATTCCTGTATCGAATGGGAAATAAACTTTATTATTATTATTATTATAAGGAAAGAACGCGCAAAAGTGTCCAGTTTTTTTTTTTTTTTTTTAAGTTCTATAGCGAATAATTTTCTGGCTCCCTATTTTTGTGTTTTTGTGCTTCTTTTCACACCTTTTACGACGTGCGGTGTATGAAATTTGATTTCAGAATCGTTTCATGGTCCCTTTAATTGGGCGAACTTGAGCCCAAAAATAAAAAGGGAAAAAAATAAAGCAGAGCGTCGCGGGCGTCGAAGTCGCCGTGGCAGCAGAGTCGAACGCTGGGGCGAGACTGACTCCGGCTTGCCACGCGGAGCCGCTTTTGCACATGTGTGGGCTTCTGGAGCATTCGGTGTAGAAGGTTCGGCGCACAGAATATTGTAACCTCGACTCAGCCAGAACGGTTCTCGAATTCACCAGAACATCACATTAGTGTCAACAAAAATGTGTAGCCGCGGCCAGGAGTTGAACCCTGGCCTTCTGCGTAGAAGTCAAGCGCGATAACCGTTAGGCCACCGGCGCGCTGCCTATTCGGTCAGCTGCGCTCGCGAGAATGGAAATACAATTTTCCGAAGTGCGGGAATTCTGCGCTGTTTACTTAAGGCATGTCAAATACAAGACTGCGCAGATGTTCCCAAAAGAAAGAGCTCTAAGCGTACGCTATGCAGTTTTTAAAGGATTCAGCCCTCTTTGAAGAGTGGCAGAAGAATAAATGCTCCGAGAACATATCCGCTGCTTCAGTCCAACTGCGCGAGGTATATGAGCTTTACTCCTGGATTTCTTCCCTGACGACACTTCCCCCATGTACGCAGCGAAGAACTGGAAGGACGATTGAAACTTGTTTTATGTGCATTTGCTTCTTGTTCTTAGTTCCCTAGTTCTCTACCACGTGGAAACAAGCAAGAAGCAGTAGGCGCGTTTAATTTATAGCTGGACTGCTTCCACCATTGAAAACGGATTCGATGCCTTTGAGCAGTTGAGGTTCGAGGAACAACTGAATAGGGAGGGTAGCGAGAAATGTCAGGATCCTTCAGGAAAGGACGCAATCGCAAGAAGTGTGCGCGTGTGTCCCTACCTGGTTCTGAGCGTACACCCGCCGGCGATATGAAGGTGAACGCCGAACCATAGAGTAGTATACACAAGGTAAAGAGCGGACACTGCCATAGGCCCCGGCGGCCCAGATAGACCAGTGACAGCTAGCGCTCCTAGCAGGCGGCATTAAGCATAAGCTGCTGCCGGTTCCGGCCAAGGTAGTTTCGGTTACAGTTTGGGCATTTCTGCTCCGGTTCTCCGGTACCCTTCTCCTTCTCTTTTCTTTCCCTCTCTTTCCTCCTCGCCTCCCTCCTCGCTAGGCTCTCGGGAGCTACTCGGCTCCCGGAGCCGCTTCTTTTTTTTTATGTTGACGCAGTTTATATTTAATTTTGCCGATAAAATTCGTGCATAACGTGTCACACAATATTTTTACTTAACAAAACAGAGGTTATATATTGTTTGTTTGCTTTTTCTACTGTTAAACATTGAAGTTACACAATCTCCACATTGAGTCCTGACCGGTGGAGCATTTTGGGGTAAAAAAGAGAAAGTGATTCGAAAACATTTTATTGGACAACATTCGCATATATATGGTTTACTTCAGGCGCTCTGTATGTTTTGTAAGAAAAAGATATTCACAAAAAAAAAAAATGAATATGCAGGAGTTCGGCATATCGTAGACTTCGTAATAGACTTTTAGCGGAACCAAGTTAACAAAAACTTTTTACAGGGAACATTCTGAGTGATCCCTTTGCTTTCACGACGACTCGGGCACAGGAAGTAAGTGCAGAAATAAATAAGACATCGCTATCATCACCAATTATAAGAGTATGATAAGAGAGCACAACATACAGCGGAGAGTACAAATTACCAATTCCCGTCTAATATAAAACACACGAATTGGCATAGCCTGAAACACACTGTGGGAGAGCCATTACCAAACAATGAGAACTCTATTCAGAATCTGACAAGATTCAACGTCCCTAAACATTCCCCGAAATACATTTGATCAAAAAAAAAATTACGGCAAAAAAAAAAAAAAACTGCTAAAAAACTATAGGCAGTGGATACAAAAGTGGATGCATCTTTTCCGACTCTATAGCCTCTATACAACATTTTATTGTAGAAATTCTGTAGAGAGTGGATAAATACTTTTGCAAGGGGGGCGTGATACACATTTGTTGAAAATAAGGGAAATAAATGTTTGGAGTGCGAGGTGCACCGCTCAGTTGGTAAGCACTTTCTGTTTTTGATTTGACAACCGCCTACGTTAATACTATTAACTCTTAAACTTTTTTTAGTTGCTTACCAGCAACTGAGGAGTGCAACCAGTCTTTGTCCCACTTCCGGTTAAGAAATCGAACATGCCAACACAAGCGTATTCTGCAAAACATTTTTAAAAGCCATTTGTGGCGCTCTGAGCAAAGTTAAACTACCCAGTCATGAAAGTGTGTGATACAAGGCAGACAACACATTACTCAAACATGCGCCACACCCCCTATAGCAGCAGGAAAGAGATTTTCTAGTTGCGGAATGAAATAAAGGCAACCTGTGATAGTAGTACTAGGTTCCCGGAGAGTTTTCCAGGCACATGGTATGCTTTGAACGCAGGAAAGTACTGGTGAGGCCTGGTCAAGTTGTCAGACTCCTCCCTCAGCAGCTGAGAACAGCCACAACTGCGAGTTGTCTGTTCAATGAAATGCTTGATCAAAGAGACCTCAACGTATTAAGTGGACGAGTCATCAATTATGTTAGATCTGAGGTCTGATGGCAGCTCAGAAAGATCCTCTAGTGGCGGGAAGTTATCAATGGGAAGACATTCTACATTGTCTGCAATTGAACTTTCATGGTGCAAAAATATTGGCAACTCCTTGAGGAGGTCAGCCTTGCTATCTTCTACGTTTCCATTGTTGGACAGTTTGAGCAGTTTCTTTATCCGCATGTGTTTTAGTCCTGAGGTGAACTGATACACATTTAGGTTTGTATTGCAGCCCAGCATTTGTCTTATGGCTGCAAAGACGTTCTTAAGTGGGTCTTGCTGCATGCATCGTGTAAGTAAGAACTTAAAGTCATGGCTGTTTGAAATCTCCTCCCAGAGCATGAGGACACTCTTTATAGTAACTACCACCCCATGATGGTTTGTGACTACCTCGTGCTTTGTAACTTCTATGCTGAAATCCATCCGAGTTGCTCTTGAAGGAAATCGAGCACCTGAGATTCTCCTTTCAGAATGGCATGGCACAACTTCCGCCCTGCCTTCTTCAATTGTGAGCTATTTAGACAATCAAAAAGTCTGTCCATCCTATCGCAGAAATAAGCTGTAGCCATGGCTGCCTCAGGAAGCTCCTTGGCATAAACAAAGAATAGGACTGCGAGACAGACTGAGGCACTCAGTACCTGTGCGGCACGCTTTACTTTCATGTTTCTCAAAGGGTTTTCAAAAATGTGTCCCTCAGTAAGTTTCGGAGCCAATCGCAACCTCATCTCATGGGTAGAACGATGAATTTCAACAATATGGGACTGCTTAATGACCTAATTTTCAATGCAAAGTTTGCGCGCTTGGAGATTGTTCCTGGTTGTTTTGCTGAGATGCGGAACATCAAAGGTAAAGTAAACATGTTCGTTGTCAACTTCAAAAATGGCTTATCAACAGACACACGAAGTTGGTTGGCCAAGCTTACATGTGAAGCCCCCTTATCACGGACCGCAGCCTTTACTGTGAAGGCAACTGCCTTAAGCTCCCGCAACGAGAGGAATGAGAGGGAGACTGCAGATAAGAGAAGACAGTGTAAGTGTGCACAACTGTGATGTTTTCGAAGGACGGACGGAAAACAAACTTTATTCTGCACGATACATCAAATATATACACAAAGGAAGGACGCGCCCCCTGGGGGTGAAAGAACACAAATGAATACCGAAACTGAATATAACATACTCCCTCTTTTATTCGTAGTGATTAGTTGCTAGTAAGTGTTAGATATCCCTAAGCATGCACTGTACATATTTACACACTACATAACCACTGCTATACACATAGACAACTAGTCGGTCTGATAGTCTTTGAGCCAGGCCGGTCGTCGGCGCTCTCGGGACGGGCGATGGGGACGCTGCACGGCTGGGGATGGTAGTGAGCTTGTAGAGCGCTGCGGTACCCCAGGGGACCGCGGTTGCGGCCCAGGAGAAGGCGGCTGCAATATGGCAGGCTCCAGTCCAGGCAGCTGCGGATCAGGAACGGGCGACTGCGGTGCGGCAGACTGCAGTCTGCCAGGAGGCGGCGGCTGCAACCCGGGAGAAGGCGGCGGCGGCAGGTCAGGCTGCGGCACTCGAACCGGAAGCTGCGGCGCAGGTGGCTCTGAACGTTGGGACGGTGGATTCGTGCCCCCCTCTGGAACCCTGGAAAGCTTGGAGGCATTCCATGTGCGGCCATCTCCAAGTCTGAAAGAGAGAGGTCCCCTCTTCGCCAACACTTCAGTTGACGAAGAAAAGGCGCGATCTGCCTTGAAGCGAACTGACGGCTTCTTGACACGAGCGAAATCGCTCACTGCTATTTTCGGCTCCTTAGCACCTCTCCTCCGGTCCGTGTACTCCTTGCTGCTTTGCTGTTGAAGCCGGACCCTTTGACGCAGTCGCGCCAGTTCCTTTACTGGGTCTTTTGCGAACGCTGGTGCCGAAAACCCTACAACATCCAACCTGGTTCGAGGCATCCGCCCATGCAGCAGAACTGCTGGGGCAACCCCAGTGGTAGCCTGTGGAGTACAACGGTAAATAGCAAGGTAGTCAGTGACTGCTTGTCGGATAGGTCGCCTTTCGAGGAGTGAAACTTGGATGAAGTTCTTCAAAGTTCGATTAAGCCTTTCGACTTGCCCGTTCGCCTGGGGGTAGTATACCGATGAGTGCGACAGCTTGATGGCTCGGTTTTGAAGAAAGGTTATAAATTCACGTGAAGTGAACTGCGGCCCATTGTCGCAAACAATCTCCTCCGGGTATCCTTCACGGGCAAAGACACTGGTTAAGAATTCTTTTACGGTGCTTGTGGTCACTTCGCTGCAAAAATATACCTCTGGCCACTTGGAATGGTAATCGACCAATGTTACAGCAAATCGGCTATTGCGAGGTGCATGCTCCAATGGGCCAACAATGTCTAGGCCCAGTTTCTGCCAGGGTCTTTCAGGCCACTCAACAGGCTGCAATGGCACTGGCGATGTTTTGGCAGACTTATCTGCCTCCAGGCAGATGTGGCAGTTTTTCACGGCCGATTCCACTTGCTTGTCCATTCGTGGCCACCAGAATAGCTCACGAAGTCGCGCCTTTGTGCGCGTGATGCCCGGATGTGTCTCATGGGCAACTGCGATGAACTGAGCTGTGAGGGAGGACGGAACAACGAGGCGCTTTGCGCGCAGCAGCAGGTCATCAACAATAGAAAGCTCTTCGCGCACTGAGTAGAAAGGTTTTGCCTCCTCTGGTACGGACTTTTGTGGTGGCCAAGAGCCGCACACGAACGACTTGACGGTTTGCAGGCAATCGTCGTTGAGGACGGCTTGCTTGAATTCTTCCTTCGTCATGGAGGCCGGCTCGACCAACGAGACGATTTCTTCTTCCTTGGAAAGTTCTGCCTCCGACGTAGGAGCTGGCAACCGAGAAAGAGCATCGGCCACAGTGTTGGTGGACCCCTTGCGGTACTCGACCGTGAAATTGTAACACAGGAGTCGTGCACTCCAGCGTGCAATCCGGAGTGGCCTTCTTCCACGCCCCTGCGACGATAGCAATGATACCAACGCCTGATGGTCCGTACGAATCTTGAAATGGCGACCCCACAGGTAAGTGTGCCATCGCTCGCACGCCCAAATGCATGCCAATGCTTCACGTTCACCAACCGAGTACTTTCATCTGGTGACAAGCTGCGAGACGCGAAAGCAACTGTGCGGAGCTCGTGGCCATTTTGCTGCCGCAGGACAGCTCCCAAACCGCAGTCGGAAGCGTCGGTCGACACGTTGACTGGAAGTGATGGATCGAACATGTGGAGAACAGTACTCGAAGAAAGCATTTCCTTGACTCTCCGAAAACTGCTGTCTGTTTCAGCTGACCAGATGAAAGGCTCATTCTTGCGAAGCAGAACGCGCATAGGTTCGACGACTTCGGCCAAGCGTGGGACGAATTTGGAATAGTACTCGACAAGACCTAGGAACGACCGGAGGGCCGCAACATCTATTGGCACTGGAGTGTTAATTATCGAGTCCACTTTCTCTGGAAGCGGTGCGATACCTTGTGCCGTGACCTTATGGCCTAGGAAGGAAAGTTCTGGAACGTCGAAGAGGCATTTGTTGTTCAACTTCAGGCCGGCGTCCTTGACCTTCTGCAAGACCATTTTTAGATTCAAAAGATGTTCTTCTGCACTTGTCCCAAAGACTATCACATCGTCAATGTAGAACAACACTCCAGAGCAGCCATCAAGAATTTTGGCCATCATCTTCTGAAATGCCGCTGGGGCAGAAGCTAACCCAAAACAAACTCTTTTGAATCGGAAGAGTCCTTCATGCGTAATGAATGCTGTCAGATCCCTGCTGTCAGGGTGCAAAAGAACCTGATGGTAGGCGCAAGCCAAGTCAAGCTTTGAGAAGTGTGTCGCGCCTACCAAGGCATGAAGAAGTTCCTCTGTGTGAGGCAACGGGAAGCTGTCTGGTACAATAGCCTTGTTAGGCTCCCGAAGGTCAACACAGATTCTGAAGCTGCCATCTTTCTTGTCAACGACAACAATGGGGGAAACCCATTCAGAAGCATCGATAGGTTCGATGATGTCAAGGCTCAGCAACCTGCGAAGTTCATCTGCTACTGGTTCCCGGAGTGAATATGGGAGACGACGAAGCTTCGAAATTACCGGCTGCACGCCTTGCCGAGTTTTGACACGATGCGTGAATCGCTTAGCAAGGCCCAACTCAGGACTGAAAAGTGAAACGAAATCGGGTGCCAAGGCTGGCGGAAGGTTTGCTTGCCTCGGTTGCCCTCTTGACTGCGTTGGAATGTGAGAAGGTGTCGGGTCATTGACACGCGGCGGCGGGACGACGGACGTGTGCAGGCACTCGAGAGTGGAACCCTGAATTCGAAGATTTAGAGCCTTAATGCCGTCGAGGCCAATCATACAGGTGCCTTGGCGAACGATGTAGAAAAGAAGTGGTGCAGAGCGCCCTTTAAATTGAACGTCTGCCTGAAAACACCCTAGCACGGAAATTGGACGCTTAGAAAAATCAAGCAAGGTGACGTGCGGAGCTGGAAGGAGCAAAACGCTTTCAAAATGTCGACGAAATGCGTGTTCAGACAGAATCGAAACAGACGACCCCGAGTCAACAAGAAATGTCAAGCTGACATCCGCTACGCCCACTTTTATGTATATTGCTCTGCGAGCAGAATGCTGCACGGTCAAAACTTGCTCAGAACTTCCACTTGACAAAACATCGTCATCAAAATCAACTTCACGAACCCTGCCTTGCGTTTGTCGCTTGCGGTTGCATACTCTCTGAAAGTGGCCCTTGACGCCGCAAAACGAACATTTCTTTCCCTGCGCTGGGCACTGTGACGCTGATGCGCGGTGGTTCCGCGAGCCGCACCGAAAACAGTGAGGTAAAACGGACCGGCTATCTCTGTCTCGTCGAGGGGGGCGGTGCCCCTGCGACGCACGTGAACCGCTCGCTTTCCTTGAAAAGTTCTGCTGACAATGCTCTTTTGGCTGTGAACTGGTTTTTCGCGAAGAATGCGGACGACGCACAGAAACAGGCTCGACTGAAGCAGAGAATTCCTTTAGTTCTTCAGCTGCTTGCTCAAACTGAAGAGCGATTCGTACTGCGCTCTCGAACGACAGGGAGGAACCCTCGAGTAGGGACCGTTCACGTACGCGATTGGAAGCAACGCCGGCAACAAATTGGTCACGGAGAGCCTCATCTTGTGAATTGAACGAACAATGCGAAACGAGCTGCCGTAAAGCAGCAACAAAGTCGTGAACAGACTCGCCTGCGTGTTGGTTGCGGCGGTGGAAACGATGACGCTCGACGACTACGTTGCACGACGTCGAAAACTGCTTCCGTAAGGGGGCGAGTGCAGACGCGTACACGTCAGTAGTGGCCGCGGTAGGCTTATCTTGAACTGCCGGTGCTGCGGCGCTTGACCCTGCAGGTAAAGTCCGGAAAACACGCTGCCCTTCCGCCCCCAAACAATGCAGAAGAATGGCCTTGCGTCGCTCTGGTGGGCACTCAGCTGCTCCGGACGCTAGAAGGTAGACTGTAAAAGTCTGCTCCCACTCCTCCCATGGCAGGGACGGACGGCCGGGCGTCTGGAGGAACGGCGGCGGCGGAGCGAGGCCGGGGAAGCTCATGGCGGGGCGGGCGTAGCCGGACGGTACGGGATGCCGAAGGTAGCTTGGAACGGGCTACATCCTCGTCGCCAATGTGATGTTTTCGAAGGACGGACGGAAAACAAACTTTATTCTGCACGATACATCAAATATATACACAAAGGAAGGACGCGCCCCCTGGGGGTGAAAGAACACTAATGAATACCGAAACTGAATATAACAACAACAGTGTATCGCACTGGCGTAGCCAGGATTTTATTTCGGGAGGGGTTCACTGGCATTCTCACCCCTACACATAACCCTACCAAACAGTTCAAGACGGAAAGGGGGTAGTCCCTCCTCGCTCGGATTCTCGTGTGTACCCGGACACAGCCATCCTCCCTAGAAGATTAGCCCGTCGCTCAAAATTCATACAAAAGTTGCTTTGCCCACCCCGTTCACCCCGAAGCTGACAGTGCTGTGAAAAATGCGTGCTCGTTGGGCCAGCCACACTTTTGCCACATGATCACGCTCTCTCTCGCATAGCCACGTGCAGAGCATGAGGTCAGGTGATGAAAAGGAGGCGGCTGATTAGTCCGGCAAGCGCGTAGCTTCCACCACAATGTCAGCTAAGGGGTGAAGGGAATAAGTGAGGTCCGGTGTGGTGTGACGTGCATTTGGACCCGCTGACGCGCTTTGGCGACCGCGGATGTATCTCAGCGAAAAGGCAAAGAGCTTACGAAGGGAAGGAGGTACGAAATAGTCCGCTCTGTTTCCAAATTTTCGTACCGAAAGTCGGGCTTTTGACTTTCTACCTTTTTTCTTTTGGCCTACTGAACGATGTGCTATCAGTACAATCTCAGTCTAAATTGATTTATCCCAGCCCAAAATTCGTTTCATGGGCCCTTTAACATAAAACGGGTAAAGCTGCATTGTCATTTTTCAAAACGGAGCAGGCTTCATTTACAGGACGAATATGGTGGCTTATTGTTCTACCATAGTTGCGGCCCACCAACTTTAAAAGCTTCTTTACAGCACATAACTCCCTCCGCTTTTTGATGTACCACTGCATTACCAACGCGTGCCGGCCAGACAAAACAAAAAGCTAGCTATACTGTCATGAAAAAATTAAACAGCAACACACACAAAAAAAATTGCAAAATTAGAGCAAGTGTTTATGCTCAAACACTTAACAATATTTCAAGCCGCCATTAAAATGGCTGAGACAGATGAAGTCGAAATTTAGATGCCGCGAGTAACAAGTCGGCAACGTCACCACTTTAACACTTCCGCTGGAAGCACAGAAGAGCATTTTAAGCGTTCCGTCTTCCTTGCTTTCATGGATTATCTGATCACAAAGTTAGATGGGAGATTTAAAAAGCACCGGCGTACGTTGCAATTACTTTCGTCGCTTTTGCCTGCAAAGATATTAAAAACCGTTCCAGGTCTTGGCGCTGAAGAGTTTTTGGAGCTCCATTCAGGCCTGGTTTCATTTCCTGAACTCCAATGTGAGCTGCTCATATGGGCTGCCAAATGCAAGAGGGAGAAACGTGAAACGCCCGTCAGGTGTGCGCTACAGGCGGTCGCCCTCTGTCCGGAGGCCCTATATTCCCAGTTAAAAACAACCATTGGGTCCAATTAGTTATCGACAATTAGAACCAATGGGGAATCCTATCTGTGATTTCGGACTTCTAATTAGAAAAAGTCAATTGGTTCCAATTAGTTATTGACAATTAGAACCAATGGGGAATCCTATCTGTGATTTCAGACTCCTAGTTAGAAAAAGTCAATTGGTTTCAATTGTCCAAATCTAATTGAACATCACCAATTGAAAACAATTGTGCACTGCCCATTGAATCGAGCCAATTAGGTATTGCCAATTGGACGCAACCAATTAGGCATGGCCAATTGGGAAAATGTATTTGTGTTTTCGGAATTCTACGGTCTCCAAACTGGAAAAAAGAGCATTGGTCCGAACTGCTCAAATCTTATTCATAGATACCATTTGGGACATTCACTGGAGTCTTTATATATCTCAAACTTGAAAAAGTTGCAACTGGATCCAAAGGTAGATAATCAATACAGTTTTTATTTAACTAATCAAAAATCATTCCTAGCATTCAGGCACATCTTCGTCCAGGATTGCAGCAGCTGCGGCTTCCCTAAAACAAATAGATGAATACATGTTAAATTACTTATGAGACTGCATAAACGATAAAATAAAGCTTAGAAACATATTAGAAAAACTTTTTGCTCTAAAGAGATTAGTTGTGGTGGTAAAACCGTGCAGGCATTGCACTAAAAACTGCAAAGAAATTAGCTGAGTGGCGAAAACCTTTAGGCCTTGCGTTATAAGAAAAACATCCCTGGGCGACTGGAACAGTTTAGTAAAACATTACGCGACAAAGCTTTTGCCCAGATTGGTAGCTTGCATATGCGATGCTTTAAGGCTACCAAGTTTCATTTGAGCCAATTGAGATATACTCTTTGCTACAAGGAGAAAAACAGTCAATTCAAAGGCATCTGTTTAAAGCCGGTGCACCTGGAAAATGTTTAAAGTCTGCGTAAGCTAGCACAGAGAAAAGCTAATAGAAAGATGGACATAGCTGAGTGAAGGATAATGCAACTAGAATGTACCTTCGCGTTTCCGCCCTCCTCAGCTCGCCAATTTTTTCATTGACGAGCTTGGTAACATCCTTGGCCAAGGGCTTGGCAAAGATCACGGGCATGCCGCCGGAAACAAGCCTGGCCACGTAAAGATCTGAAAAAATAAGCTGTTTTACTCGAAACTGTCTACAAGCCCTATCATCAAAACTCACATAGACTGGTGACTAACATAATTGAAGGTTGACTACATTGATGAAGTACAGTAAATACTATCAGACATATTCTAGCAAACATGTTTTGCACTGCTGGCAGCAATCCGAATTGAAAAAGAGGGAAGCTGAAAAAGAAGGAAGCTGAACATTCAATGGAGATCAGTAGCCGAGTGGTTAGCAGTGCACACCCCAGCTCGGAGAACTTGGAGTAAAAACTCGCACCGCAGAACCTGGGAATCAGGGATTCGATCTCCACTAATGCCCTTGTTTCAATCTGAATGACCTACATACTGTTGTGTGGTCGTGTATTATTACAGCATGTTAAAGATCACAGGGTTGCAGCCATACTGCACTAAGCAAATTTCTGACCTATATCGTAAAGCAGAGGTGCAAAATGTAGAGGTCTCAACCCCCAGGGGATTGAAGGGAAATGGCAGAGTCTCGGAGAGCTCCCGAAAAAAAGCACACAAATTGGGTGGCAAGGGATTGCCGCGGCTGGCATTCAGGTGCCTTAGGGGCTGCATACCGGAAATGCTTTTGCACACGTCTCGTACATACATGTCACCTTTCTGGATGGCTAACAGATATCATAGACCATTCATTGACAAAAGTCGTCATGCTACAGTTAAGTGAGCCATACAGATTTAATGAATCGCCACCAAGGACACAGGTTCACGTCTGAAGTCTATAGAAGATATCGGGCGAAAATGCGCAGCGGGGACAGATCGCTCCCGCCTTCATTGTTTATGAGAAATGTCTAAAGGATATGATATTCTCCTTGCCCCTCCCCCCTGTTCCAATGTCATTGCTATAAATATATGTCGCCCGATTCCAGCAAAAGTTAACAGCAAGAGAAAGCAATAAAGAAAAAGTAACTAAACAAATTCCTAAGCAAAAAAGCACACCATGTTTTCACTGCATCAGCAGAGTAGTATACACCTTTTCTACACGGGAACCACCATCTTAAATTCTTGAACTTCCGGTATGCAAGAGAACATTGATTTTCTCTAAACTGCCAGTGGAACGTGTTATTGTTTAAATTGCAACCATCACTCATTCTTGTTATGCCCCTGCATGTTTTTTTACTTGTCCTGCTTTGTAATCGATTCCTTTTTTTTCCGGCACATATAGCAGATATGGGGACAATGTGGCTGGGTATAAGACTAAGCGGAAAAGATGTGTTGCAAAGATTACATGTAACTGCCACGCCAGGTTGCGATGCATTGCACTACTTTTCTGCACATGCTTAGCTTTGAAAAACAAAAGCAAAAAACAAGCCGTTCAAACTCCATGCAAAATAGAAACAAAAACTACTAACCTTTCAGGACACCGAACTTGAGGGGACAGAGGGGCTGCTTCTTCTCACGGCCAGGGAACTTTGGGCAATGACGTCCTTAAAAAATTAGAAAAGTTTCTAATGAGATTTTACATTACATATCTATAAGGATTTTTTTATCACTAAGTAATGCAGTGCAATATACTATAAGCATTAAAAGCGTCTGTACTTACCTAGCACCGAGTTTTCCACGAGGACCTTAGCTCCATACATAGCCACGGCCACGTCCTTTACAAACACAATGTTCCTCTTTGCTACCGCCTGCAGCCATACAGAACGGTCAATCAAGGCACCTTTTCCGATGTCCACCTGAAAATCAAGATAGTTGAAGTCACGAGAGGAATATAATGACACCATTAAAAAGCGATAGTGTCAGTGACATCAGAGGCCTGAAAACTTTTTGGCCTCAGTACCCTAAAGGAATCCTAAAACTGTAAGGCGACCTCCACCCACATATTCTGTGCTAGTTACGGGCATATACATTTATTCCAAAATTTTCAGTCCCTCAGACATCACTCTGTAACACATCGGAGGATCGCGACACCCAGGTTTCGCATCTTTAGGTTAGATCACTGGCACTAAAACACTACCGATTCCAACTTGATACCAGCAAGGACAAAGCTGTTAGGAAGAATGGGAAGAAGCTTTCAGTTAGCCTTAGAGCAACATGCCAAAGTTTCACCAATGCCTAAGCCAAGTGCCTTGGCAGAATATAAACGTGCTACTTTGAGGCCTAGTGCAAGCTCCTTTTCCTTCACTTGCAACTTAGGCTTATGTGCCTGTATGTGATGTCAGCAATAAGCATAATGCTATTCTATGAGCTTATTGATTAACCAGTTTCCTGCACAATGATGATGGAGCAGCACCATTGCGCTGCTATAATGCCATAAGCACTGCAGTACATTGGGATACCATGTGCTGTAGCAAATAGAAAAGACGCAACATGGAAAAGAGAGTTCCACTATTGTGTACGTTCCATAAGCCGGTAAGCTAAAGCAGTGGTCCTCAATCCATGAAGGAATTTGTCAGGTCTGCAAACCCCTACTCATTAGTAAAGCCTGGCAATAAGACTTCTCTATAGAGAACAAACACCCCACTTTTGTTTTTTTTTCTTCTGTCTGGGTCAATAAAAAAGTTCCCTTTAAACTAGCATTTAGATATAACTTCTGTCGTAATAATGTGCCAATCCAAAAGAGGGGTCCTCGATATATAGTTGGTTGTGAACCACTGTGCCCGGGTTTAGTTTGGAATGTAAAAGCAATTTTGCCTGTTGCAGGAGCACAAGGTTAGAGACTGTCAATGATGTTTGCTTGAAGATCCCAAAATATACTATTTCTTTATCCATGTTGCAATTGTCCTTACATTTTAGCTTTTTTTTTGTATGAGAGACAGCTGACGTACCATGTCATCAGCATTTGCTGCCATGCCAGCATTCTGTATAGCAGGCAGTGCTGCAGGTTGAAGGTTAGCAGCCGGGGCATGGACAGCTGGCAGCTGGGGGAGGGCAAGAGGCAGGGAAGGGCCAGTAGCCAGGGCAGGGGCAGCAGCCAGGGCAGGGGCAGCAGCCAGGCCAGGGGCAGCAGCCACCCTGGGCAGAACTGCACCCAAGGGAGGAGCAGTAACCAGTGCAGGGACCGGGCGAGGAGCCAAGGCATGGGCAGCTGCCAGGGGAGGGCTCATCACTGGGGCAGGGGAATCCACCAGGCATGGGTCGTTGGCCACGACTTCAGCAGCACCATGATTAGCGGCAGCACCCGGCGCAGGTGGGGCTTCGGAATGGCACCTGCAGTTCCTTTCATCACCTGCAGAAGGCATCAAACAATGAATAAGACCTTTGTCCTTATATAAGAGTTGAAAACATCATACCTTTCATCGGAGACTCCACTTTCTTTATTACTATTTCTTGGAGGTTGACGTTCAGTTGCCTCAGTTGGTGAGCTTCCTTCTCCAACACCAAAATTCGCTTCTCTGCACGGTCGTACTTCTCTCGGAGAAGTTCCAACTCACTCTTCTCCGTGTTTGTTGCACTCATTTTCTTCCTTTTCATCCCCAAGATCTTCATAAAGTCTGGCTTGCTTGCTGAGGTTTGCCTCTCTTTGGTGTGTTTCAGAAATTGACCATATGTTACTAATTTTTTTTCACACACACAGATCTGCAATGAGCAACATAGCAATATAGCTACCTTCTGAGCCTTGGCATTTTCCTTCTCCGTGGTTGAAGAGTCCTCAGAATAATCGGAGCTATCTATAACTTTCCGGACACGCAGCCGTCCCTCCTTCAGCTTGGTTTTCAGATTCTCTTCAGAGGCTAAGGATGATGAAATTTATCAGCATGAAATAAAGCAGAGCACTTGTAAAAGCTTTGACTGATTATAATAACTAAAAAAAAAACAGTTGTCAAAAACCTTACAGGTAGGGAGGGTTCTTAAGATTCCACAAGTATTCGTTTTTTTCAAATGCTGAATTTATTTGTTCCTCTGAACAACTGTTTATATTAATTTTGATATGATAATTCCTTGTTTCGAAAGCCCACTGCCAAAAGCTTTTGGCTTTGTCTCTCTACCGACATTTAGGTTTCACAAAGTGAAGCTACTCAGTGGTTTCAAAGGTGGGTCTGTGTAGTATTTGTATATAGCCCATAATGCCGGCACCGAAAAAGAAGCCGATGCCGCGCGTGAAATAAACAGGGCCGGGCACCCGCGCTCGGGGTGCTCGAGACTCAGAGACCATGACCAGCAGCCGGCGGTTGTCATTGCTTCTTTGAGCTTCAACGGCCTTGGTGTCCACGAAGGCATTTTGGGTTTGTGCTAACTTCCGGCATGCAATGTCCAAGACAATCCGCGACCCAGTCAAATACAATAAAGATCAGTGTCCGCGACACACCCGTGGTTGAGAACCACTAGTGCTAATAACCGATCCTATGTTCGCGGGCACAATATTCCGAAATTGGGAAGCGATATGGTTTGTAATCGCGCGACGATTTCTTCAGGCGATTAATGTTCGCAATTGCAGGAAGTATGTGGTTTAGAGTATCGATGCTGTAATTTGCACGTGCAGCAATACAATATTACACGATTTCAAGCAGGACGTTTGGGTCAGAACCCGCAGGCATGTGCTTGCTTGCACCCACCGCGCAGCACGCGCTGCGCGTGCAGGGCGGGAAGATAAAGCCGCGATATTTTCCTGCCAATACATATGTGGTACGCGGAGAGCTTTTAAACACTGGAACTGACCACCCAACAGAAGAGTAAGGGCTTTATAGAAGTCGCTCTTGCCATTATCCCCCAGTCCATTTCACGTTGTACTTCGTTTTGTCATCATAGTCTTTCGGACCACTTGGATGGAAGTCCTTGACGAAAGATGTCGGCACAATCGCTTTTGTTTTATCGTCGACGTAACGTACATAGGCGTAGGTTGTCATCGCGCACCAATTACCGTACGAAGACCGAAGAACCAAAGACTCGAAGTTATCCAAAGCACGGTGATCCAAAGAAACAAAGAAGCAGCAGGAAAGTCCTAAGGTTCGGCTTGGCTTTGGACTGCAATTAACACGGTCCCATATGGAGAGTGAAAAGGAACAAAGATTTCGTCCGTCCTTTAAAACAGAAAGGTTATTAATGTTCATTAACCTTATCTGTTATTTTGTTAAAAAAAAACAATTTAAAAGCAAATTGTTTTTCTACATGCACTGTTCACCTGCAGAATAACGTTGCCTGCAGACGCTCTCGCCCGGTCGGCAGAATTGAAAAAGGCGGCAGCAGTAAACGCGCTTCTCTAGAGAACCTAGACGGCCTAGATTGCAAAAAGCTTAAATTAAAAGAAAAGCACGAAAGAACATCGCGCTTTTTTTTTTCGCTACGTGACAGGGCGACGCATGCGCACTTGTGGCAAATCTGCTTAGGACTCATGGTTTAAGTTGGTCCCTCTCTTTTATCTAGGCTCTCTACTCTGCCTACTGGCTTTATCTATACCGCTGTGGGCTCTACGGTACACTGCCGCTGCTCCAGGCTGCGTCGGGAGCGTGGGCAGCTTGCCATTTATATCGTCCTCTACGGAAGCTGACGTTTGTCGGCTCTCGCCGTCCAGACACGTTTATTGTCTCAAAGGTTGAAAGGTGGTGCCGACGATCTCTTCAACTTTGCTGTCCCATATGGTACGGGCAGTACGGGTACGGGGACAGTGCTACATCGGGCCCCGCTGTAATAAAAGCTAGCACCCCCTGCTCAAGATGCGAGTTACTGGGATTTCTAAGTCCCCAACAACGTTTTCGAACCGGTCTTTCTAAGAATGTATTGCACAGGAAAAAGACTAAATGCATTAAATTCGAAATAAGGTGAACTGGGCCAGTTGGGTGACGTTATACATGACGGGGAAAACAGCTCAGAAAACGCGGACTACGAAGAACAAACACGCGTGTCCTGTCGTGTTTGCTCTTCTACGTAGTCCGGAAATTCTGAATTGTTTTCTCCATTGTGTATTAAACTTGAAACTCAATAAGAATGCGAGAATTAACGAAAACGCATCGCGCGCCATCGTGGAATTTAGTATATATATGCTCGGGTGCCCACATTTTCTTTTATCTGCAGCTCATTTCTAATTTGTTGAAGGCATTCTCAACATGGCAGAACAAATTTGCACGAGGAGACAGGCGCTCTCAGATGCACGCGTCAGAAAATCGTCGGATCCGACAGAGTGGGATTTTGACAGGTTATAGACGCTTTCAGGGCGCGCGCCAGATTGAGCCGCCATAGCCGACCTTCCTTTGTCTTACTGAGATGCCGAGCCACTGAAGCGGGTGTTGACGAGTCTCGACAAGGGCCTATGGTGGGGAGAAGGACACAGTAACACTTAAAATTGCAATAACCTGTCCTGCTGTGGTAATGATGAAGTGGAACTAACTAATCAGGGGGAACAAAAACTGGAGGTCGGTTATGGCGGCGCCCTTGCACAACTGCCTGAAAGCGTCTATATCTTTCTAAACGTACGCTTGATGCCAAAGCTTTATTTAGACCAATGCATGTTACAGTGCGGCCACTTTATTTACTTATTTATTTAGACTAGAAAATTAACATTGGCGCCATCGCGAATCAATGGGTAATGAACCCCAACTTCGGGCGGGTTAGCTTTCATCAAGTTATATTTTTCTAACCAGATGTGGTCCGGCCAATATAGCATAACTGCGAGCCTCCTTGCATATTGAGGTATTTTGAAGCCGCGTTTAGAGTGCCTCAAAGTCAGCAGGACCGAGTGCATGCCTCGATCCTGCTCGTGCAGTCGTGGTTCTGTCCGCTCGTCAGGAAAGGACAGGTATACACATGACACTCGTACGCGCAGGAGCAGACGCGTGTGCGAGTCTCAAAGACAGTTCAACGATCGGGGACAAAGAGGACTACTTAAAAGGCTCCAACGGCGTTGGCGAAATGCTAGTACGCTAGCTCCTGCCAGACCACGTGGTTTCACACAATTTGCTGCATAGTTCACCCGAGACTGCAGCCAAAGCACGAGCTCCTGGCTTTGAGGCATGCATTTCTAGCGTGAGCGCTCGTTCTGTGGAAGAACGTTTCAAAGCAGCGACCTCGAGCTCTGCTGCGCTTCCGACGTTGATGTCGGAAACACAGATGTCTTTTTCTCTGTGTCCGGTTAATTTTGCATTGGTTCTGTTAACTAAATAATAACATCCACTCATGCGGTTTGTTTAATTTGCTCTCAAGAGAGGCGCGCATCAGTGAACCAGTAGCCAGAAAAGGCCGAAGGTTCTAGCCGGTGTTACCCCAAAAACGTTTTAAAAAGAGAAAAAAGACAACGGAACACCGCTAACTAGGCCTGACGACTAGAAGTGCAAGTGCAGCAGACATCCCCAAAAGCTGAATTTTAGCTACTGGAGTGACTCTAAATTAGAGTTGGTTACTCCGACACGTGACAACTTAGCTAGAACTACGCTCAGTGCAGGTAGGTTTTTTTTTTAGATTTTTTTTTTTTTTTTAACTTTTTCTGACCGCCAAGGGTGGCGAGCTTCAGCAGATTGAGATCGGTTAGATTTTGGGAACACGGCCAGTGGGCGAGTGCTTTGTTTTTGCTACAGTGTAGTTTTGGCACTTTGTGTAAGCGGCTCTCGTGCCATGCCCGCAGGCCCGCAGCTGCGTGACTGGATGTGACACTCTTTTCCGTTAACGCGTGCTGTTTTCCTCTGAAACTTTATGAAGATGAGCTTGTCCTAGTGGACCGGTTTTGTCTATGGAGGGTTCGACAACACAGCTTTCCCCATCTGCTGCGTCTCCACCGCGTCCAAAACGATCGAGAAAACGAGGCCCTTATAAACAGTATTTGCATCCGGGGTCTCAAACTCCGATCCCGAAATCGACGAGATACGCCCAGAGAGAAGACGTTGCACATGGGAACCACGTAAGTCTCCGGCTGTCAAATGAAGCTACGATAGACTGTTCGCTGGTTCGGCCGGTTAAATGCAAATATTCAGGCTGGGTTTGGACCAATTTTTATGCTCTATATTTATTAAATAATATCGTGTCCGGCCTAGGGTTCACGATAGCGGCGAAAAATCGGCCCGAGTTTGCACAGCCTGTAAAAACGTACCGGGGACCCGCGCACTTCTAAAAAAAATAAATATTGTTGAAAGTGTTGAACAATTCGCGATAATTAAATTTCTGGTTCGCGTGACCCTAAATCCCTAGATGACTCCACTCAAGAGGGGCTGCAAAACCCGTCATTTTCAGTAGACATATTTTATCTGATGACCCTAAAATATCTTACATTGTTCATCAAGTTTAGAAGTGCCTTTACCTTCAAGCTTTTGTACTTAGTTTGGGCCTTGATCGTACTAAGCCATCTACACTCCACCATGAAAAGTGGATGCTAACCGTTCTAGGGTGATGCAGCAGCTGCATGTTTGGCCGCAGATGCCGACTTGTTTCACGAAGATGGAAAGTCAGCCGATGCTTCCTCTTTGGTGAGTATATCTCATTATTTCGAATATGTCACCCTAAAGAACAAAACTCTACTCGGGCTGTTACCGATTCATATTTATACGTATTTATGGAGGAGCAAAATGTTGCAGAAGATCTGGCCAGAGATGACCTGCCTTGGGAAATCGGAGGAGTTCCTTCCACTTGGGCAGTAAGCAATATTTTCGTAGTCTGAAAATAGTCATTTTACAAACGAAGGACTTGTTGTTATACTTATCCTTTTTGAAATTAATACAGGAACCTGGTATGTCTTCGGACGACCTTGGTAGCAGGGCTGGCTGCTCTCCTGATTCAAGAGAACGACCTTGCACGTCTTCCCATGGTAAATATATTCCCTCTTTTACAACGGGCATGCACTCATCTTAAAACTCAATAAAAAAACCTACCTTGATTGTATTCTCTGCATGATCTGAAATACGCCAAAAAATGAGGACAGAGACGAGAGGCACACAGGACAGGGCTCTGTCCCTGTCCTGCATGTTTTTCTTTTCTGTCCTCGTTTTTTTTAGCATATTTTCCATCCTGTATCAGAACCAACTTGCCCAACTCGCAATCTTAATAGAGTGTACTTTTTGTTTTTTCTGTGCTCAAGCATTTTGAACACCGTCCCACAACCCTCTGCCTACATTCATCTGTGCTAGATTTGTGCATCTATATTTTTGGGCGGAAGCTATGTGAGGCCCTGCAACCCCCAGTTTGCGCACTTCTGTCCTAAAGCACGGGCTAGGTGTGACTCCCTGTCTGCTACTGAGGTTCTCTATATGAACTCATTTAGCACAGTCATTTCCTGACGAAAATCTTTGATATCTTGGAAAGGAATGATACGCATATATTTGTTTGTTTCTTTTCTATTGTATGAACCTCCAACAACCTAACGCGATTTATTGCACTTTGTGAGGGAAAGCATTACAAAAATATTGAAATGCTTATCAATTTGGTGAGCTTATCTTAACCTATCCAGAACACTTGAGGGTTTATTGCTCTCCTAAAACGTTTTAAACGCCCAGGTGATTGGCCCTAAATCTTGGTTTGCGCAAATATTACGTCACTAACCTTTGCTATGGACCTTAGTAGAAATAGGTATATAAAGACCATTAAAGAATTTACATGTTGCATGGATGATTTAACTAAAAAGAATGTGAAGGTAATTATTAGGTAAGCAACAAGTGATTTTTTAGTGCTGTCCTTCGTTTTGATTTCTGTTCCTTAAGGAACTTCGAATGTGGTGTGATCTTTACATGCTTCTCCTACTTAAGTTTCAGAATTTAATTTTGCATGCATATATTAGTGATATGCAGTTTGCTAGCTGAGAAAACAAGCTGTGCTCTTGCACTGCACAGATAAATTAAACACCAACGAAAGCCCGGACTCCGCCCAAACATGGGTTTTGCAGTTTGGGATGAGAAGCCAAGGTTACAGAGCTTACAAATACGGAGGGGAAATTTTAGAGGCATAAAGCTAAGCTGGGTTATCAGAGAATGCTATCCAACAACTAACGGAATTCGGGAAAAGATGCTGGCCTATCGATGAACATTTCTTATCAGTCAACTTGTCTCCAAAACATTCAGGAACATGGCTCCTTCGCTGGAGATGACCTCTCAGATGACGCAAGATCTCTCTCATCCTCGGTAGGCAACCTTCATCAAGCGCTCGTGGTACTCAGTGCATGTGGAATGAGAACAGAGCTGTATAGCAGTAATTATATAATTTTAAAGGACGTGCTCAATACTAGATGCGGGACTTTCTATCTGGTATCAGCATCTATATTTTTACCATCATGTTCTTAAAATTGCCATTGATTAATTCCAGACTTCGTCAGAAGACATCTCAGATGAAAGTTCAGCGGCCACCGATTCGAACGCAACTCAGCCTGCAAGGTCATTTGTCGAGCTTTTCGAAGAGATTGTATCTGAACGCCATGTTGTGTCTAAAGGTGATATTTTAGTAATGCTGCTAAAGTATGTTGCTTGTAACAAACATTCATTTACCGCTCTGACAAATCTAGTCAAGATGGTGAATAGTTTTTTTTCTCGACCTATTCTTCCAGAATCACGTTACTTTCTCGGTAAGATGTTTGGTGATAATGGTTTTTACTTTCACTTTTATTGCCCTCACTGTTTTTACTACATTGAAAAACTGGATAGCTGCTGCAGCTCTTTCCAGTGCCCACATTGCAGTCAAGAATGCAAAATGTCGAATGTCTGTGAGCCACCTTTTTTTATTACCTTTGACATTAAGTCACAGTTACAGAGCATCCTGATAGATTCAGACTTCTCAGACTTAACAGAACCTCTGCAGGATGTCGACTCAATGTGTGACATCAAAGATGGGAGCAAGTATCGTGCATTTGTTGACGAGACTGCAGAGGCTGGGCATAGGATTAGTCTCACCTTAAACACAGATGGTGCCCCAGTTTTTAAATCCTCATCAACTTCCATTTGGCCCATCCAGCTGTCAGTGAATGAACTTTCTCCCGAGGATCGTGTTGATAAACTTGTGCTAGCGGCCCTTTGGTTTGGGAAATCCAAGCCACGAATGGACATTTTCCAGAAAGCCTTTGTGGACATTATGCAGAAGCTTTCGATGGATGATTTCCCCTAAGCTTCAAAGGGAAAATTGAAACCTTCAGTGCTTTCTGCATATGCTCAGCAGTTGACTCTGTGGCTAGAGCCCAAATGCAAGAGATTATGCAATTTAATGGTTATTTCGGCTGTAACTGGTGCTTGCACCCTGGCACGGGGGTAGGAAAGGCTCTGAAATACCCTGTCCAAGCAGTCGATCCTGTTGAACGTACTGACGAACAAATGTACAACGACATGCAAGAGGCTCTTGAAACTGGGACTGTAGTGCGCGGAGTGAAAACTGTTTCTCCGCTTATTAACCTGGAGCACTTCAGCATCGTCTGGGGCTTTGTCCCAGACTACATGCATTGTGTCTTACTGGGTTTGGCGAGGCAGTTCCTGGAGCATTGGCTTGAGCGCTGTGACAGAGAGTTTTATGTTGGGCGAGAGATTGATGTTTTGGATAGTAGGCTTTTGGCTATAAAGCCTCCAAGAGACGTGAGGTGGATGCCGAGATCGCTCAGAGAGGGAAAATTTTGGAAAGCCAAAGAACTTGAGAACTGGGTCCTGTTTTACAGTGTTTCTGTTATCACTGGAGTTATGCCAACGAGGTATGTTGCTCACTGGGCTCTCTTAGTGGAGGCTCTGCACCTGATGCTACAGGAGCGTATCTCTTTTGCAGACATCAACCTTTCCGATCTCCCCTGACGCTGGAGTTTGTTATTAAGACTCAGCACCTCTATGGAGAAGAGAGTATGACTTATAACGTCCATCAGATGCAACATATAGTAAAGAGCGTTCGTCTCTGGGGTTCCTTGTGGGCACATTCTGCCTTCCCTTTTGAAGCAGGTAATGGCAAAATGAAATTAAGCATTAAGGCCGCCAAGGGGATTCCCAATCAGATTTGCAGGATGCTGGCGATCGAGACCGTAGTTTCTGAGTTGGAGGTACTTGTGAGAAGTGCTGCTATGTCCAGTTACTGCTCTTCTCTTGACTCACACTCGACACAAAAATTTGCCGGTCTTTGCAAAGAAGGAGTGCGTTTGCTGGGAAAAGGGTGTCCGTTTAAGGTCGCTGGGGGGATCCTGCTTGGTCTTCAAGCTTCGTCGCCTCAAGCTCTTGAGTACCAGCGGATGGTGAAGGGAGGAACTGTATTCACAACTGTTGCTTATGTTGGCAAGAAGAAAAGTGACAGCTCAGTCGTAAAGCTCACTAATGGTTTTATTGGGGTAATTGAGAAGAATGTTTTGGACAAGAATTCAAGCTTTTTAGTTCTGAGGCTGTTGGAATGTGTACCTTTTTATTCCAAGTCAAAGACAACTTTGTTCAGAGGTGTCGGCAGCAGTTTCGGCTCATAAAATGTTTGGAAATTCTCAGCCCGGCAGTTTTCATGGCCACTGATGATACCTACCTTGCTTCAGTGCCCAGTGCTCTTACATTAAAAGCTGTTTGTTAGCACTGTTTGATTTTCGGTTTTGTTGGAAAGTTTCTTGTTTCAAGTGATAGATTTGCTATGTTCAAACAGAAGGATTATCTGCACAAATGGATGGACGGTTATTTTTTCTTTCTTCCATCTTTAGAAAGTTGTCTTTTTTCTTTTTTTTTAAAGTGGCACTAAGGCAATTTTTGACATCAACTTTTAAAGCGGTAGCTTTACGGGCCACACTTTGCAGAAATTTCGACCTCGTCTCCAGTTTTTGCTACTCTTCATGATTATCTCCAAATTTTGAGTGGGTGCTTGCTCAATACTTTCCAGTAGTTTCAGTTTCAGCTCAAGTGACTCTCACGTACTCGCTGAAAGTGATTTCTACAGATCTGCCTCGCTCACCCTGTCTCATTGCCTTCGCCACCTCAGTCAAGTCTCCATAAGCCTTGTGTATCACAAACTAACCGCCGAATTTACAAACTTCACTTCAATTGAGGCGCCCCTGAATTCCCTCAAGCAAAGCGCGAGGACAGGCGCTGGCCAATCGCGACGACGGACAGGCGGCCTAGGTTGCTTATCAGTCATCGCGATTGGCCAGCGCCGGCCCTCGCGGCTTTTTTGAGGAAGTGGAGGGGTGCCTCAATTGGAGTGAGGTTTGTGAATTTGGTGGTACAGCTTTACTTTTCCAGAAATCAAAGTCAAATTGGGGGGTTTTGCGTGCCAAACCAATGGCGCTGAGGATTAGTTTGGACCACCTGGGGATCTTTTGATGAGCAACCGAAAGCTCAGCCTTCTGTGCAATAAGTCTTTCTCAGATTGCGGGCACCTCGGCCAGGGTTCAAACCTGCCACCTGGAGATCCTTAGGACGGCGCTCTCGCATCGGAGCCCCCCTCAACGTGTGCCTCGATCCTTCCATTGTTTACAAACAAAATATCAAAGCATACAGGTTTATACATCCTGGAACTGGTTCATTTTATATTAAATATGCATATTACTAATTTTTCTTTTACTGTTAACATTTCCTCCAAAAATGCTTTTTGTTGTCAATAAAGCAGGAGCCTCTTCCCCCTTTGATTACAAAGAGCGAACCTAAATTTTTATTTTAATTATGGTGACCTTGGTTTAGATGAGTAATTTGGCAGGAGATCACTACCACTCAACTAAGGCTTTGGCCTAACACGTGCCATGCATTATTAACCTGCATGCATAAGTGAACAAATAAATTTCTGGGCTGTTTACTTTATAAAACTTTTTACACGGCTTTTTGTGCTAATCGTCGGCAAGATTTTCATACGAATCAAATGTCCATCTTCTACTTCTATGCGTGGCTTACTGGAAAAAACTGCTCATGGCCTGTATTTTTTAAATCAGCTTTTCTACAAATGTGGACTGCCTTGATTTTGTTTTCTTGTAAATGAAACACATAGACAGTGTATAACAAACTTCAGATTATTGTGTTATGCACTGTGATAACAATCATAAAATGCTTGAGGATATGTTGCTTAAACGTACCAATGTACATATGTTTGCAATGGATATTTATTTATATCCATTAGTGAATAACATCTGATATGAGTTTATGGGTGGAAAGAAATGAATGTCTAGCTTGTGACTTGTGTACCTTGTCTGTATAAAAATGAATGTGAAAAACCGCTATGCGAGTTTTTTTTAAGAATGTGAGGGCTTGCCCTGCTATAAAGTGACAGACATCCCGACAAGCCAAAATATTCTTGCGCAATCTGGCAACAGTCTAAACATAATAATTTGATTTTTGAATTCACTTACTTTGGAATAAACCCATACTAAAGAGAAAATGGCAAGATCTGTATAGATGATTGCACACTATATTCCAGGGGTCTCAAACACACAGCCCGCGACTTGCGGCGACGCTGCCCGCAGGCAACCGGCCACGAGTCCCGGTTCCTATGTCTCGAGTTCTAAAAATACCGTGAGCCCTAGTAATCTCATCTCGTCAATTAATTTTTGCTTAAAAGTAGCTCTGCTGTTTTAAGATATTCTCATTGTTTATACTTGTCTGTGTACATTTGCTCGTTGTTTCGCTTTCTTTTTTTTTTGCTTCCCAGCTGTTTGTAATGTACAATTCTGCTACTAGGCTGCAAGTGCGAGCTATTTGTTGGATGCATAACTCTGCTGCGCAAACTCACAATCAGTAAGAGCTATACTGCCAAAGATAAAGCTATGAGCTCAGAATTCACACCTTCAAAACAAATTATCACCATTAAGAGAGAAGTATTTGTTCAGTGCTGCGATAAAAATGGTCAGGAAAGCAAAAACTCAAATAACTGAGCTTGGTTAATTCTTGAGTGAATTGAGCAATAGGAACAACAGTGCACTTGCTATCTTGTTCTATTAGAAATGCCAGCACGCTGGCGGGCAGTGTCATTTTAATTCTTGTTATCACATCAGGTCAGGGTCCAAAGTAGTCATATAAATAAATAAAATCTTAATATGTTACTGGCAAAATTGTGAGTTTACAAAAAGCATAGAGCACTAGGTCTCTTTTTAAAATCTCTTGACCACTCTTCCCACCCCCTTACGGTTTCCCTCGAGGTTTCCGGTGTGGCTCTCCGGCCCCCACACTCAAATGAGTTTGAGACAACTGCTATATTCACTATGTTCATGAAATATGCAGCCATCAGTCGCACACACTACATTTTGAACCCAATCACAGTGACCAATTGGGTGACCCAGCACCAATTGGAAACATTGAAGCCAACTGGAGTGACCAATGAGATGACCCAGCACCAATTCCGATTGGGATCACCAGTTGGAAACATTGAACACAATTAGTGGCCAATTAGGTGATTCAGTTCTAATTGAATTTTATCGATCCCAATTGTGTTAACCAAATAGAAACATGGAACTCCATTAGGTGACCCAGTACCAATTGAAGTTTAATGATCCTAATTGGGTAACCAATTGGAAACATGAAACCCAATTGGAGTGACCAATCAGGTAACCCAGCGCCAACTGAATTTTGTTGGCCTCAATTGGGGTAACCAATTGGAAGCATAAAACCCAATTAGAGTGACTAATTAGGTGACACAGTGCCAATTGAATTTCGTTGTTTCCAATTGTTGTAACCAATTGGAAACATGAAACCCAATTAGAGTGACCAATTAGGTGACCCAATTCCAACTGAATTTTGTTGGTCCCAATTAGGGTAACCAATTGGAAACATGAAACCCAATTAGAGTGACTAATTAGGTGACCCAGTGCCGATTAAATTTTATTGGTCCTAATTAGGGTAACCAATTGGAAACATTGAAACCAATTAGGACGACTAATTGGGTGACCTAGAGCCAATTAGATTTCATTGATTCTAATTGTTCCCAATTGGATATCCTAATTGGACCCAATGGTTATTTTTCACTGGGTTCCCAAACGTTCATCGTTTTCTCAGGATCCCAGGGACTCTGCCCGTAACAACGGCGGAAGCCGAGAGCTCATTTTCTTCACTACGACGGTTGAAAACATACCTGAGAGCGTCCACTTCAAATGAGCGCTCGGTTTAGAGTTTTTAAATGTTCAGCGCGACATAGAAGTTCAAGCGGTGGACGTCCTGGATATTCTTTGCTGTGAACGCAGGCGGCTGCATCTTAATATGTAGGCGCTAGGCATAAATGAAATGATCAAAAGAGCCTGTAAATTTCTTTCTGAAATAACTAGTAACAGTTACTTTTTTATTTTTTTTAATTTTTATTACTCATTTATAGTCCGGCGATGAGTCGGTGCTGGGAATAATCGCCTGAATTCCATTTTGTAGACTGTCGACTCAAGGAACGTAACTCAGCGTGGATCTGCGCTGTCATCGACAAGAAGGCACCGCGGCTATTCTGCTATCAGCAAACGGTGACAACTGGGAGGCGTGCCTGGAAGCGTGACGTCAACCGACGTCAGTCCTGGCGCCTACAAAAGCGACCGACCGAAGGCACCCGATGGCAGTCCGGCGATGAGTCGGTGCTGGGAATAATCGCCTACATTCCATCTTGTAGACTGTCGACTCTAGGAACGTAACTCAGCGTGGATCTGCGCTGTCATCGACAAGAAGGCACCGCGGCTATTCTGCTATAAGCAAACGGTGAAAACTGGAAGGCGTGCCTGGAAGCGTGACGTCAACCGACGTCAGTCCTGGCGCCTACAAAAGTGACCGACCCAAGGCACCCGATGGCAGTCGGGCGATGAGTCGGTGCTGGGAATGATCAGCTACATTCCTTCTTGTAGGTAAGAAAGCGATGTCAACCTAAAAAGTTTGACTGT